CACACACACACACACACACACACACACACACACACACACACACACACAACCTTAAAGGTGCCTCTGGAGGCCTCTCAAGCAAATGGCCAAATTGCCATTTCAAATGTGTCCAGAGGGGAAGAATAATTCAATGTTATGAATGGAAAATAAAGGCAGCCAGTGTATTGAATTTTAATGAAACCTAAATACAAGCAGTGTGATTGTTCTCGTGTACGGCTTCACGTTTGAGAGCGAGCCACTCACAGAGAAAAGAGACACGGCACTCAAAGGTTGCACATTCCTGGTTGAGGGAGATGGTCCTTTTGCAGATCAGGTGTTTATTTATTTGTTTGTACCTGGCTCTCATTGATCTTTACGAGTAACTCAAGGAGGAGGACACATATCCAGCACACCTTCCTCACACAACAACAAGCTTGAGTAGTGAGTTGGGGTGAGAGAGAGAGGGACTAGCCCAAAGTCATCCACCTGGCTTTCATGCCTAATGTGGAACTAGAATTCTCAGTCTCCTACTGATGGGCTAAAATCACCCAGACTGCTTTCATGTCCAAGGCAGGACTAGAACTCCCAGTCTCTGGTGAGTGGCCCAAACTCTCCCAGCTGGCTTTCATTCCTAACATAGGACCAGAATTCCCAGTCTCCTATTCATTGTCCAAGGCTTTCATGCCTATGGCAGATCTAGAATTCGCCATCTCCGGGTGATTGGCCTGAAGTCACTCAGCCAGTTTTCGTGCCTAAGATGGAACTAGAACTCACAGACTCTTGCTTTCTAACCTGGAGCCTTAACCACTAGACCAAACTGCCCCTCTGAATCTTGGAAAGAGTCTTCACTAGGCCTTGGATCTGGCATTTTTCTCCCAAGTGCTACTCTACAATATTTGGTTTCTAGGCTCAAAAATCACCCTGCCAACGAAAGTGCCAAGTCTAGTCAAGGCTATGGTTTTCCCAGTTGCAACGGATGGCTGCGAAAGTTGGACCATAAGGAAGGCTGAGTGCCAAAGCATTGACGCCTTTGACCTCTGGTGCTAGAGAAGACTCCTGCGAGTCCCTTGGACTGCAAAGCCATCCAACCAGCCAGTCCTGGAGGAGATCCACCCTGACTGCTCTTTAGAAGGCCAGATCCTGAAGAGGAAACTCAAATACTTTGGCCACCTAATGAGAAGGAAGGACTCCCTGGA